TTTAAAATGTAAATATACCTAGGACACTTAAGGTACTTATCAGGCATTCAACAATCAATACATATATTGGCTTAACTGGCTTTCCCTGTTAATACCTATGGAAGAGGATCCCTACTGAAAAGGACTGTCACTAAGAGAAGTAATTAGTAACTGAAAGATACTGAAATACAAACTTCAGCTATTTGGCAGCCCTGGATCCAAGAAGGGAGAAACTACTCCTTCTCCTGGTTTCCTAAATGAATTCTGGATTCTCCTTAAGTACTACTTATTCACTGAAAATGTTTTTTATCAAGTATTGTGCTTAAGCAGACTAGGAGACAAGATAATTACGACAAAACTATTCAAAGAGCTTAACTTCTAGTTTACAAATACTGCTTTATCAATTAAGAGATGAAACTGGGGAACAAGTAAGCTTCTCTGGACTCATCTGGGATTCTATCATTATAACAAAGGAACCTGGATGGCATTTTTCCATTAAAAAACAACAACAAGAAGATTTAGAAGTGAATTTGAGGGAACAAAATCTACTGAAATAATTTTTCTTTCTCTCTCATTCTCAACCCTACCTCTTCCATGTCTACAAACAGATTCTCCCTGGCCTTGCAAATCCTTTCAAAAGTGAGTAAGTCAGTACTAATTTATGCACTGGGAGCTCCCCTTGTCTAAAATTTCACCACTAGGTTTGTCTCTTAAATTTAAAGCCTCAAGTTACCTACCAAAAATAGCCGGAATTCTGAAAAACTCCTATTGTCTTTACATTTTATTCATCTTTAATAAAAATTACTTTTGAACACGAATCCTACCTTTAATAGCCAGTATTTTCCCCTTTGAATTCTGCATTAGCAAACACTGATATCATCCAATTACATTTCAAAATGCATTCAATAGAATGCATGTTTCTTCTGAAATGGAGTATCAACTCATGCAATGTTAACATTTTTTTCTTGTAATATTCAAGTAAGCAATTTAGTCACTAATTTGAAAAGAAGTGCATTACAATTTTATGTTAGGAAATACATTTCTGTGTATTTTCCATATTAGTCACCCACTGAAAGCCAAGGCAATTACGCATTTTTCATTTTGATCTAAGATTTTTGAGTCAAATGGGAGGGCGGGAGAGTAGGAGAGGGAAAAGGAGAGCTCTTGGTCTTATACTTTTGTTTCCAGGTATAGCCGAAGTTACATTAATTATCTAAAACATGATTATCCTATTCTGACATTGAAGAGAAAAATCCAATTCTCAATAAGCTACTCCAACATTTAATAAGAATTAGATGCTTGTTCTTCAAGATTCAAGTAAGACTCTTATTTAAATTAAATCTCCTTTCCTTCCAACTTTTCCTCTTTCAGCAGATATAGAGAATATCCAGCTAACATTTCTTTACAGCAAATGTATATATTTTTGCTAAATTATCCTTCAATTTTTCAGGTTAAGTACCTGAAACCACAACTATATACAGAAACTATAACCTTTCATACTCCTTTTTAACCTTTTGATGACTTTTATTAGAAGGATAATCTCAAGGATCATGTTATCCACATTTTTCATTGTGTAGCCAATAACAGAATGAATTAGAAAATGTACTTAAATACAATGAGTATTAACCACAAGATTCTCTAGCTCTAGAAAGTTAAACTTCTGCTGACATGTCAATAAAATGATAATGAAATGAAAAACACTGCACAACTCATCCATTTAGCTTATAGTGTACAGTGACTGTGAAGTTTATTTACTTCTTTATTTTGGTCAAGGATAGAGGCAGGTGCGGAGACATACTGTACTCCTTTCTGCCAGCTCATCCCTCATCATGTACCTATATAGATTTATTTTTAATGGCTGCACTTTCTTACACTTATTTCTCCTGACTCATCTTCACAATTGACAAACCTATTGTTTACAGCACTATGCACAAAATAAAGCATACTAAAAACAAAGAAACTCCCCTAGTTGATGAAAGTCAACATGTATCATTCCCATTTTCTGAGGAAAATAAACCTGACTCAGAAAATTAACACACCTATAAACTTACTAAAAGTTTTGCTTCTTAGGCCAAATTCCAATGAACAAAACTACCTAGGTATATGAAGTTTACAGCATAATATTCCAGTAAGTACTGCACTCAACTTTATACCAAGTTCCAAACCAGAGCTTGATATTTTGTGGGAGAATTTAAAATCTTAATAAAATACTGGCATTTTGCCCACAGCTGCATGATTGTGTTACCTTGCAATTTACTGCCTAATTTTTCAAAGATGTCAGGCGGGGAAATAAGCTGTCATAAAAAGTGTACTGGTCTGAACCATTAAAAAACTTTGATTTCTACTTCTGCTACTATCCACCACAGTTTCCTCTAAGTCTTGTTTTCCTCATTTTTAAAATAAAAAGGCTGAACTAGATTACTTCTAAAATGTTTCTCATTTCTGCAAAGAATCATACAAATGAAAGATTCTCACTACCATAATAGATTTTATTGGAAATAAGAATCCCATCACATCCTCCTCTTCAGTGTTTCAAATGCAGCCCAAGCAACACCCTATACGGAAAGGTCCAACTAAAATCAATACAAAATCTATCAACACAAACCTATTCTCAGAATTCAATAGGATAATGGAATAGCAGGGAGTGTCCATCTTTTTGGTATACATACTTGAACTATTACATCTCTACCTATATAACTTCATCCAATCTGAGGTAAAAGAGAATATGGTCTTCCAATAGACAAGTCTCAAACTCTTTAAAAGGTATTTCTCTATTTGAACAGAACTCAAGATCCAATAATACAATTTTCAAAAAACAAGCCTTGCACCAAGATAAACTCTGTGGAAGAGAATAAATGGCAAGTGGTACTTCTAGATAATTCAGTTGTTCTCTTACAAAAGATTTAAAATCAGCTTTTAAAGCTGTTTTCCTTCTGCTGCCTTAAGTTACAACTTCGTTCTCCAAGATTTTCTAGCTTCCATTTCAGGGAGTGGACAGGAGAGTTACAAAAGAGCTGATAATAAGGCTAACTCTTAGTTTTTTCTGTCAGTATGGTATGTTTTACTGAGCTTTTGGGTTATATGTGGCCTTTGAAGAATAAGGTCCTGCAACGCCGCCTGTCTGTGGACCCAGGAAAAATTATAAACAGTTATGAAACCAGATCACTAGGACAAACCAAGAGGCCTTCCTATTCCAACTCACCACAACCAAGGCTGGCTTCAAAGCACTCTTCAGCTGTCCCATATTATCTGGAAAACGACACAGCCTGGCTTAATTTTTCCTCACTAAGGAAGCATCTGAAGATGTATATGTGTATACATGTAAGAGTCAAATATACTTTTCAGCCACTGAGTTATATATAAATGTATATGGATCTAAGATCAGTTCATCCAAAATCCCTGAGAGATCAAAGAACTAAAGGCTACTTCAGCAGCCACAATAATTATGAAAAAAAAAAAAAAACAAACAAACCCAAAAACCTGCAGAACAGTATGGAAAAGTACAGCTTCTCACTTGTCTCTCACATACACAAATACTTAGCTCTGAGTCCATTACAACCCTACCTCCCCTCAAAACTGCTCCCTACCACCTCACAAGTGGGAGAAATTTACCAACCTCCTAGTCATTCCCCAAGAGACTCAGCTACCTATTATCTTATCCCTCCCGCTTTGGTCCCGCCCCCGCCCCAGGAATAACATGGCCCTACTGACCCCAGTCAGACCCCGCCGGGTGTGCAAAGAGGGAATCTAACCAATTCCCTCCATCCTTAACCGTGTGAACCATCCCAGGATAACCTGCTGTTCACCAACTCTGTGGGCTCTGTGATCCTCCCACCCCCACGTGTCAGCTACCCTCCCCCACATCCCCACACCTCACGATTTAGGCCGGGGAAAGAAAGAGGGCAGTGGAAAGCCTGGCCGCTAAGATAGATCAACCCACAGGAATCTGTCCCACCGTAAGTCCCCTCCCACCTTCAGCCCCTACCCTTTACGGTCCCTTCCTCCCTCCTTCCTTTGAAACCAGGCCCTTGCCTCAGAAACCTCCTCTTCCTCGTCGTCGTCGTCCTCTTCTTCCTCGCTGTTGTTGCTGCTGGTGCCGCCGCCGCCTCCACCGCCGCCGCCGCCGCCGCCTCCACCGCCGCCGCTGTTGTCGCTGTCGCTGCTGCTTTCGCTGCTGCTGGGGGGTCGGCAAGTCCGGTTACGCTTGGCTTTGTGGTGTTGCTGCTGCGGCGGCTTCTTCTTCAGGAGTAGGTCGCAGACTCGCACCATCCCACGAGGAGAAGAGGCCGAGCGAGCCCCGCTGCCGCCGCCAACGCCGCTGCCGACCTCCGCCGCCGCCGCCGCCGCCGCGGGGGGGCCCGCCACGGCCGCCACCGCCGGGGGGCTCCCTTCTCCCTCAGCCGCCGCCGCCGCCGCCGCCGCCACCGGAACCGTCGCCTTCTCCATCCCCAGGGAAAGAGGGAGGGCGCGGACGGGGGAGGGGCGTGGGGGCTACGCTCTACCGCGACTTCGGCCGCACCGGGGCCGACACAGCGCTCGGTGCCGCCTCCGCCGCCACCGCCTCGGTCACCTCTACTGCCGCCGCCGCCGCCGCCGCTCCGCCAGCTCTCACCTCGTCTCGCGATACTAAGGGCGGGGAGCCTGACGATGGGAGGGAGGGAGAGGGAGGGAGTGTGAGGGAGCAAAGGGGAGGGGGTGAGGCGTAAGGAGAGAGCCGGGTGTCGGGAGACCCAGAGGAGGGGAGACTACGGAGGGGCGAGGGAAGTGTGCCTAGGGCGACTTCCGATGGGGGGCCCGCGGGGCAGAAGAAGCCCGCGGTTACTGTCGTAGCGCCGGCGAGCGCCCGGATTTCTTCTTTTTCCTCGCTATTTCCCCCACACATACAGCCCTTCAGACCTCCTCTCTTCCTTCCTCGCTTTTGATTAGAACGCAGCCGCAGGCGGAAGTGCGGGTGACGCCATCAGCCGTCGCCAGAGCGGTGGCGCGCGGGTGGCCGAGAGACGAAAGTGAGATTTCGAGGGCTGGGTTCCGGGCCCCGGCGGGCGGGCGGGCTGGAGAAGAGCGGCCGGGGTCGGGTGGGAAGCCGGTGAGGAAGCGCGCTCCTGACACTTTGTTAGCAGGAGGCCAGAACCGCCAGATCCGGGAGGTGGGACCTCTTTCTGGACTGTCGTATGTAGTTTTATTCCTGGCCATTTTTTCCACCGCCAAATCGTGATTAGGGCTTTGGATCTTTGAGAGATGGCGTCGTGTAAGGGAAAGAGCCCTCTTTGCCTAAGTTTTACAGACTTCCTGAGCCTGAGTTTACAGTTGTGTGATACGGAGTTTGATTAGGTGATGGCTGAGATTACCACAACTTTGAAGTTTCCAAAGGGGAGAAGACAGGAGAAGGAAGCAGGATCTGTGCCAGAGTTTGCGGACGATTCACGGAATGACCCTGATTTAGTTCTTCCAGCCCTCACCGACTCAGCTTTTATCTGTGGAGTGAGCATTATAAATAATCATCCTTGTCTGTGCATCTCTTGGAAGGAATATGGTGAAGGGGGTTTTGAGTTCATTTGTAGATGTATGAAGGACTTCCAGGACTTTTGAAATAATAGCGTAGCTTATTGAACTCAGAATTATCCCTTTCTGGTCCAATAAGAGTACAGTGGCATAAGGAAAATGAAAACATCAAAGGCAGATGTACTGGCACAGGATAAAAAGTATGTCTCAGCTGACATAGTTGCCATTTTAAGACTGCTAAGTTTAATTGAGTGTGCCTGAATTTTTTTTTTAGCATTTTTTTTTTCTTTTTAGCATTGGCATACCATATGAAATGTGGGCAGTTGCCAGTACTCTACAGAGTACTATGGCAGAATTGGCAATGACTGAATCAATTCATTCAAACAAAAATTCATCATGTTCCTACTGTGTGCATAGTTTTTGAAATCAAAGTCTCTGCTTCCAGGGGCTGTTTGGTATAATAAGTGCTACAGTAAATATACACACTAAGCTAACTATCTGCCTGTTCCTCTCCTACAATGGTTGCTGAGTTCCTGTGCAGAACATTACACTACATTGTGCATCATACCACTGCAGGTATCGGTTCTAGAATCTCAGCTGTATATCCATCAGCACCTTCTTTTCCCTTCCCACCAAAATACTTTTTACAGTCTTAAGTCCCTAGCCACATTTCATTATATGACTTTACTTCAAAAGTCAAAAGAAGATTGATGCTATTAGGCATTAACTCCTTCAACTTTACAAATGCTGTAGACTTAGATACTTTCAGAACTTTCCTTTTCTCCAGTATCAGAGGAATGAGACATTCCCTGCAGAGATGAATTATCGGCACTCTAGTTCCAATTGCTTCTTTCTCTTCCATTTATTAACTTTTCTGTCTTCAATCCTCCACATTTATGGTTCCACTCCATTTCCTTTCCCTCACAATTCTTTAAAGAGGATTCTATGTTCATTGTCTCTGTTATCTGAATTTAACTCATTAACCCTTTACACTCTAACTTCTGTACCTATCACACTGTCAAAAATACTCTTTAATCCCATTATTAAAAGAAAAGAAACTCTTGCTCTTTCACGTAGTAGTGAAATGAATTATTTTGTTGGGACTAGTAGGATACAGTCAAGCCAGCCTGTTAGAATAGACAGAGCGCCTGCAGTGACTTACTGTTATTTTTGACTAGCTTTTTTTTTTTTAGAGCCTTGTGGCAGACTTGACTAACCATTCATGAAACATTTCTTCTTCCTGAACATACAGCTAGACTAAATTTCCCAATTTCCTTTACAGTTAGTTAGGGCCATGTGGTTGACTTTTAGCCAGTGAAATGTGAATGGAAGTGATGCATTCATTTCCAGGCTTAAACTTCCTTCCATCCTCCTTTACTCTTTTCCGTCAGCTTCTAGCAAGTGAGTATCATAACCTTGAAAACTGTATGTTGGAGATGCCAGTGCCACAAAAGAGGTGCATGATTAGCTAAATCACTACTTAGAAGATCACCACCTCCAAATTAGAAAAACGCTTTTTTGGACTTATTATAAGAGAGAAAATTGAGATTTGAGAATTTATATGTTATAGGAGCTAGAATGACCATAACTAATCCAGAAATTGGTACCAGAAGGGGAATACTGGTAGGACAGTAATCTAAAATATGTTGCATTGGCTTAGTAATGATGTAGCAGATGTTAGAGAAATTGATGTAGGAGGCCAGAAGAAGGAGACGCAGGTTTTGTAGGGGCAGCATAATTGAAAAGCATATCACCTATCTATTGAGACTAGCTCCAGAGGAAATAGTTCAAAAGAATAAAAGTAATAGTAATACCTTAACCTTTGAATTCCCTGAATTTGAATAAAAAATTAATATGAAATTCAAAACAGCCTGTTAAACTGGAAGCAAGTACGAATCTCAAAATGGCAAAGTTCTTGTTTTTATTCCTGATTAGTGCATAAAATAGTACCGGTGATGACAGTGGACTGAAAAGGAAATACAGAATTTCTTAAGAGGTATGTAAACTTGGTTCACAATAAGCCTAACTGCTTGCAGGACAGGGTGATGAAAACTCACGGCAGAGGCTGTGCTATGAATCCATGGATTGGATAGAGGATCCTATTGAGAAGACACTAATATCCATACATTTTGAGGTAAGGGCAGAGGGAAAACAATCACAGTTTGACTGAGAGAGTAGATTATAAGTTGTATCAACAACAGACCTTTCAGCAACAAATTCAGACACCAAGCAAACCATATTTCCCTCTGCCAATGCCATGATGGTAAAGAACTTACCTCTAGCAACCAGATAAAATCTTACAGGAGAAATGAGAATAGTGACCAGCAGCCAACTAAGATTGCAAGAGAATTGTATTGACAGAAACACCAACTATTGGGGTGCCTGGGTGGCTCAGTCGTTAAGCATCTGCCTTCGGCTCAGGTTGTGATCCCGGAGTCCTGGAATCGAGCCCCGCATTGGGCTCCCTGCTCCACGGGAAGCCTGCTTCTCCCTCTCCCACTCCCCCTGCTTGTGTTCCCTTTCTCACTGTGTCTCTGTCAAATAAATAAATAAAATCTTAAAAAAAAAAAAAAAAGAAACACCAACTCTTGCAAACAAGGGCCTGTGATTGCTTAATTCCAATGCCCTCTTTTGTGTAAGGGATAAGGGAGCACCTTTCAGAGAGCAAACTCAGGACCATTATATTAGCTGACCAAGGACCTCATCCACTAGCTAATTAAAAGTGCCCTTGAGATGCCTGGGTGGCTCACTTGGTTAAGCGTCGGACTCTTGATTTCAGCTCAGGTCATGATCTCAGGGTTGTGAGATCAAGCCCGGTGTGAGTGCCCTTAACTCACCTTTTAAGTTTATACCACTATCCAATAAAATTATCTTTACCGTGTTGTACCACAAAGAGCTACATCCAGACCTGACCAAAAGAAATGCACATCAGAACTCTTGATTTTCAAGCAAGATGCAATAATTGGAAGAGACTTTGGCATGTTTCCCAGGAGAGTATTTCAGTTGTCCATGGGATCATTACATTGTCTTAAGCTAGGACATTTATGAAATTATATGTACTGGAAGAAGCACAAGTGTAGATGCTAGGTAGCCAAGGGATGGAATGTTGTGGAGAAGACTCCAACTCTTACTTTTTGTATGTCCATCTCTTCAGGAAATGCCTTTTCTCTACCTGATAAAGCTGTCAATTATATGACTTTTTTTTTCCTTGTCATAAAGATAGGCAGATGAGCCAGGTCAATCTTTCCAGTTATCTATGAAATTTTACTGAGGCTAGAGCTGCTGACATAACATGGAGTGAGCCTATCTTACCGTACAGCAAAGACAAAAGAAAGCAGGTATTAGCAATAGAGTAGAGTCCAGATAATATTTGAAATCCAGGATTAGATCCATTGTCCATTAAGTGGCCACTAACTTCTGCCTTTTCTCTCACCCACCCCTGACAGCTTCCTTTAAGCTATTTTAAGGTAGGTTTTATTCATTTGCAATTAAAATAGCCCTGACTAATGTAGTCCCCTGGGGGGTGTAGTTCCATTCTTAGAGAATCTTACAGAACAGGGATTGAAGCAGTAGTTATAGGTGCCCCACCAACACCATCAATGGAGACATTCCCTCAGTTGCCTTCCTGGGAGAAACTGACTTTATTAAGGAAGGTAATGATTTATGATTAATTCCTAATTGTCAAAGTCATTAGCCTCTTTTCAGCCCCTACTTTACCTGACTGTTGTGGAATTTGACATCAACTGTTCCATTTTCCAAGGGGTCTCAATAAAATAATTCCCTCTTCTTGCCTAGGTTCTGAACAATTTTCCCCATGATTCAGGCCACTGCCCTAATTCTATATTACATTCTTTCCCTAAGGAATCTCATTTCAATTACCATGTTTAAGGCTAATGAATTCATAACCCTTATCTCCAACCCATTTAGATTCAGGGTTATCAGTGGAATTACTGTGTTTAAGCTAATGTTTCCTTAACCTTTATCTCCAACCTAAACAGATCTAAGATTACCAAATCCTATTCATTCTATGTCCTCCTATCTAATTACTTTCTTTGTGCTCACAGCTACTACCTTAATTTGGCTTCTACCCGCTTTCACACATACTATTTCAATTGTCAATCTTTCTGCCTCTGGTCCTAGTCTACTCCATTTTATCCTCCACATTGCAACCTGAGTTACTTCTTTACCTTGTAAAAATTCATTTCTGAATACAAAAACAATTCATGTTCATTGTAGAACATTTAAAAAGCATGCTATTTTAAACTTATTTTATGAGCATAGTTTCATGCCATTATGTATTCTCTATAATATCATTTGTATTGAATATATAATGGATATATCATTTTAATACAAGCACTGCAAAATACTAATCTATAACCAAAACCATTATATGGACATGTGTATTCTGTCATTACAGCATTTCAAAGTTCTTTGAATTTTGAATGCCTTTACATAACGCACACTTTCTTCAATTCCCCACAGTTTATACAAATTCCTATTATCCAGTGTTATTCCTTCACTTTTGTCATCTACGTGTTTTTATTTTGTTGTTGCTATTTTCTGGTGGGTTTTTTTTTTTTTTTTTTTAATTTTCAGCTTTTATTACAAAGAGAAAAGAATGATCCCAGCTCATCTGGTGGTTTTTCAAAAACTGTTTTGGAGGCACCTGAATGGTTCAGTCGGTTAAGCATCCGGCTTTTGATTTCGGCTCAGGTCATGGTCTGAGGGTCTTGAGATTGAGCCTGGCATTGGCTCTGCACTGGGCGTGGCACCTGCTTGGGATTATCTCTCTCCCTCTGCCCTGCCGCCGCTCCCCCGGGTCATGCACGTGCACTCTCTCTCAAAAACATATATATATTATAATACATATATATAGCATATAATAATATATAACATAATATATAGTCATATAATATATAACATATAATATATGATATTATATATGATACATTTATATATATTGGCATTTAAGTTGAAATGGACAATTTATCCAACATAAGAATGGATTTTCATTAATCCACCTGGGATCTGTTCCCTACCTACTATGCACTAGTCGCCATGTGAGGCAAGAAAATAGTGAAAACACAAACATGGTCCCTTATACCTTGACACATAGTCTAATGTGAGAGACATATAAATGAAATAACTACTAAAAGAGAAACCTGACCTAGGACTTTTGTTTGAGGGTGGGGCTTCCCTGAGAAAATAATGTTTGAACTGAGGTCTATAGTAGAAATCACTTAGGCAAAAAAAATAGAGAATATTGCTGGTCAAAGTGGTGTATGTACAAAAGTCCTGAAAGGGGAGGTATCAAATTGTGTGAAAAGAGCTGAAACACAAGAAGTGAATGGAACAATTTTTGCAAGATGACACTGGAGAAGTTAGCAAAAGCCAAATCATTCAGGGCATTGTGGGCCACGTGAAGGAATCTGAGACCAATGTTGAGACAAAAATGTGCCTCCCTTTAATTGCTATCCATCCAATGACCCTAGTTTTCTCTTTCTTTCTTTTCAGTTACTCCTCATATGACATGATTTTGAGATCTCTTTCACCGTCCGATCACTCTTTTTTGGAACTTAAGATTTTCTTAGTCTACTGCTTGGAAGCAGAGCCAAGTAAGAAATAGTTAAGCAGAGGGCTAGGGGGATGGCAATCTAGCACAAATAGTGATTACTACTGGTCACTTTAGTAGAATACAGTTGCTACACAATTCAAATTTAATTAAATGTTATTGGATAATGAATTTATATTTTACACTAAATTTTCTTCCAAAAATATGTCTCATATCTTAAAGTTTATTTCGGTTAAAATTAAAATCATATTGCTTATAGCATGTAGTTCTAGGTTGGGTAAAGGGGAATATAGGAATGGAAAACTTAAAGATTCCTGTATAGCAAGAGAAAGCCAGTCTGAGATTTAAAATATACCAAGGATAATCTGCAATGAAATAATGTGCACTAACTATTGGTTATTAAACCAATAAGCTACACACATTTAATTTTTGTCCTCCATTTTATGTCTGTTAGTTTGACAATTTTTGTTCTTAGTTTGGAGAACCTAAAGTGGTTATTTCATAGAACAACTCCTACGTAGAGATTTGTGAGTTCCCAATTTTTTACTTTCAAATTGAACATCAAAAGAAAAGAAACGTTTTCAGAGTTCAGATGTAGAGCAAGCAAATATATTAATAACTAGCAGAAATATTAAAAATTAGAACAATTCCTGCCATGTATCTTTCTCAGGACAAATTGAGCTTGTTAAAAAGTTTGATCTGCTAATACAAGACAGAATCCCAAGGAACTTATTCATTCATTTACTGATTATTCCACAGACATTTTTTAACTACTATGTGATATACACTACTTAGAGCACTGGGTATAGCTCATTAAAAAGCACATAGTTTATGAGTGCATTATATGCAAGAAATAGTATAATAAACTTTGACATATAAGAGATTCTCCCAGTGACCTTGAATCCTCAAATATGCAAGTATTTTATATCACATAACTTAACCCAGAAAATACAGTAAATTATAACCAGTCTTCTATATTTTCACATGTAACAATAAGTTTTAAAAATAGGCAGAGATTCTAGTCTGGCATGTAAGGAGCTTAAAAGTGGCCACTCCATCCTAACAACAAACAAGTAAACAGCTGAACAAACTAAAAATCAACAACTCTTCTTAGATCTGTCAGAGAAGTGAGGTCACAGAGCCAATCACTGCCCCCAAAATTGGAGACACAGACAAATGGACAGAGAATCACAACTTACTGGAGCAGAAATCTTCATGGCAACTGGTGTTGGGGTAGGAAAACCTGAAGTGTAATTGGGAAGTTGCTGGAGGCTTAGTGTGGACAAAGCTGAGAGTGTAAAACTCTAGGGGGATCCAATCATAGGGGCTCCCATGCTTTGATGAGTTTTACCTCCAGGAGCCTTACTAGGTCCTCACAGTGACTATTGCAGGAAAATTTAATATTACTGATTACTTTCAAAAATAACCATTTTGAAATATACTGGAGCATTATGTTCTTCCTAACAACGCCTGTCCTCAGAAGAAAGTATTTTACCAAAACCTAACCCGTTGGGGTTTTATCAGAGCCTAACCTAATGCCAGGTCACTCTAGCCATCCTGTCCCACGTGAGGTGGAGTGAGAAGGGGAGAGCTAAGAAGCACTATTGAAGTTCACAGTGGCACAAACTCACAGAGACTGAGACCTAATCATAGGACTACAGAACACTAACCATTCCCCCACATCCTATCCTGCATTACTAAAGACCTATTTATTACGTTCCTTTTACCCAGTATATCATGTCCACTTTCAGTGAAAACCTGCAATCATACTAAAAGCCAAAAAATAGTTTGAAGAGACTGAACAGTCATCAAAACCAGAGTCAGATATGGCATGAATGTTGGAATTATTAGGCCAAGAATTTTAACAAAAATATATGATTATATGCTAAAACCTTTAATGGCAAAAGTAGACAACATGCAACAACAGATCGATAATGTAAGCAGAGAGATGAAAATTCTATGAAGGAATAAAAAAATAAACACCAACAGAAATGAGGAACGCCTTTGTTGGATTCATAAGTAGGCTGGACTCAGCTAAAGAAAGAATTGCTGAGCCCAAGGTTATGACAATAGCATCTTCCAAAACTGAAAAACAGAGAGAAAAAAAGACTGAAAAAAACAACAAACAAGAAAACAGAACAGCATATCCAAGAACTGTGGGACAATTACAAAGGGTAGAAAATGCATGTAATGGGAATGCCAGGAGAAAAAACAGAGAAAGGTTTAAGTAATATTTAAAGCAATGATAACTGAGAAAGTTCCCCAAATTAATGTCAGATACCAAACTACAGATCCAGGAAGCTCAGAGAACACTAAGCAGGATAAATGCAAAAAACAAACAAACAAAAACCCAAGAAACCAAACAACAACAACAATAAAAAACTATACCTAGTCATACCATATTCAAACTGAAGAAAATCAAAAATAAAGAAAAAGTCTTGAAAGAAGCAAGGGAAAGAAATATCTTACCTACAGGGGAGCAAAGATAAGAATTATGTTCACCTTCTTCTTAGAAACCATGCAAGCAAAAAAAGAGTGGGGTGAAATATTTAAAACATTGAAAAAAAACTCCCCCACTGACCTAGAATTCTGCACCCTGAAAAATTATCCTGCAGAAGTGAAGGAGAAATACTTACTTAGACAAACAATAATTGACAGAATGTGTTGCCAGTAGACCTGCATTGTAAGAATTGTTTAAGAAAGTTCTTCAGAGAGGATGAAAATAATATAGATAGATAACATGGATCTGCATAAAGAAATTCATTGGAGAATGAATTGAAGGAAAAATAAAAAAAAATTTTTATTCTTGATTGATCTAACAGATAATGGTTGGTTCAAAATAATAATACCAACAAAGTATTTGCTTATGTATACTAATGTGTGAGTGTGTGTAGGGTGTGTGTGTGTGTATATATATATATAAGCTTGTGTATAAGTGAAATGAATGACAGAAATGATACAAGGGGTGGGCAGGATGAATTAGGAATATTTTGTTAAAAGGTACTCACACCACCCATGAAGTGGTATAGTGGTATTTGAAAGTGGGCTTGGATTAGTTCTAAATGTATGTTGGAAATTTTAAGAAAACCACTAAAAAAAGAAAAAAAAGAAAAAATTAATTGATATGCTAAGACTTAAGAGAAAATGGAATCAAATGAAATGCACAGTTAACACCACAAAAGACAGAAAAAGTGTGAAAGACGAAATAGGAACAAAGGAAAAGGGCAATCAGTAGAATTGGTGTGGTTAATATTACTCCAACTATATCAATGATCATTTTACTTTTTTAAGTAAAAAGTATTTTAATTTTAAAATATTCTTTCTATATTATAATCTTTATTTCAAAATATTTAATCTTTAATTTATAATTACCCATTATTTTCCCCCTCACTCCTTTCTTTAAAGTTAGAAAAAGTTATTGAAGTATAATTAACATACAATATATTAGTTTTCATTTTTTTTTAAAGATTTTATTTATTTATTTGACAGAGAGAGACAGTGAGAGAGGGAACACAAGCAGGCAGAGTAGGAGAGGGAGAAGCAGGCTCCCCACTGAGCAGAGAGCCCGATGCGGGGCTCGATCCCAGGACCCTGGGATCATGACCTGAGCCGAAGGCAGACGCTTAACGACTGAGCCACCCAGGTGCCCCCAATATATTAGTTTTCAGTGTATGACATAATGATTAATAATTCTGTGCATTACTCAGTGCTCACCACAGTAAGTGTAGTCACCCTCTGTCACCAAGTAACATTATTACAAACTGATTGCCTGTTTTCATCTTTGTGACTTATTTATTTTATGACTGGAAGTTTGTACCTTTTAATCCACTTTATCTATTTCACTCATCCCCCCCACCCTTCTCCCTTCTGGCAACCATTAGTTTATTCTCTGTATTTAAGAGTCTGTGTCTTTTTTTCTTTGTTTGTTCATTTGTTTTCTTTTTTAAATTCCACATAAGTGTAATCATATGATATTTGACTTTCTTTGACTGGCTTAATTTCACTTAGCATTATACCTTCTAGGTCCATCCATGTTGTTGCAAATGGCAAGATCTCATTCTTTTTCATAACTGAGTACCACTTCTTTATCTATTCATCTATGGGCGGACACAGGTTGCTTCCATATATTGACTAGTGTAAATAATGCTGCAATAAAGAGAGGTGCATATATCTTTTTGAATTAGTGTTTTCATTTTGGGGGAATGAATACCCGGTATCAGAATTACTGGATCATATGGTATTTTTATTTTCAATTTTTGAGGAATGTCCATACTGTTTTCCACAGTGACCACATCCCCACCAACAGTGCATAAGGGTTCTTTCTCCACATCCTCAACAAAACTTGTTATTTCTTGTTTTGTGTTTTTTTTTTTTTAACTAGCCATTCTGAGAAGTGTGAAGTGATATCTCATTGTAGTTTTGATTTGAATTTCCCTGAAGATTAGTGACATTGAGTGTCTTTTCATGTGTCTGTTAGCCATCTGTGTGTCTTCTTTGAAAAAATGTCTATTCAGGTCCTCTGCCCATTTTTAATCAGATTATATGGGGGCGGGGTTGGTGTTCAGTTGTCTAAGTTCTTTATATATTTATATATTTTGGATAGTATCCCTTAGTGGACGGATCATTTTTTAACATACAGTGTTATATTAATTTCAGGTGTACAATATAGTGGTTCAACAATTCCATAAGTCACCCGGTGCTCATCACAACAAATGAGCTTCTTACAGGGTCAAGTTTATTGATACAGAATTTTTAATTTAATGTATAATTCTTTTGGAGTAGTTATAATCATTTGTTTGCTTGAGTGACTGAAATGTGTTTTCACTGATGGACAATGTTATGTGGATTTGAGATCACAATTTCCTTAGCAAAATGTAGAGGAAGGAATAGAAAGACTTAAGGAAATAGGAAAACTTGAATGGATTTATCATGTTCACTCTTTCTCCTACTTTCCACTTCTCCCAGAAAGGCCCAAAGAATACACCCTTCAGGAAGATATTGAGAAGGCAGTGATAAAAGGGTCAGCAGTCTTAAAAAACTCAG